AAAATCAAAACAGAAATCCCCAGCAACACACACACACACACACACACACACACACACACAGAAGCATGCAAGCAAGCACATGAAACAACAGTAAAAAAGAAAAAGGTGAAAAAACTATACTATAATCTGACTAGATTAGTACTGTCATTGGAGGAGAAATACTCCTTATTAATTGCTGTGTACAGTCATACATTTGTCAGGATTTGACAAAGAGTACTGGGGTAGAGAAGTCTGATCTAAGGTTCAGAGGACCTGCTTTTCTTTGAGAGGAAAAAAGGAGTGGGAGCACCCAGAAGGCCACACATGGCTATCACTGTGCTATTAATGACAATGCTGCAGAAATTAATTCCATACATTGCTCTTGGGCAATGCATTAAAAAAAAAAAACTCAAGTAAATTCCTAGCAGAATTGTTAGATTATGTGGGATATGGTTGCTAAATTTTGATGTAAGACATTTTTGTCTTTTTGAGACAGGGTCTCATTATGCAGTTCAGGCTGGCCTTGAGCTCACTTTGTAGCCCAGGTTCATCTCGAACGCACAGATCTTCCTGCCTCAGCCTCCCAATGCTGGGATTACAGGTGTGAGCTACCACACCCAGGTTATTTCTTTTTCTTTTTCTACAAAACAAAACAAAAAAACAAAACAAAACAACGTTGATATGCCAGCTGGAAAGAATGTATCTTGTATGCTGAAATCAATTAAGTTGGCCAGAGGAAGCACTTAGAAGCAGGAAATTTCTTCTGTAACTGTTTTAAGGGCCAGGGATTTAGCTCAGTGGCACAGTGCTTGCCTGACAAGTGGGAGGTCCCGAGTTTGATTCTTGGTATCCCTCCCTGAAAAATAAAACCGAACTGTTTTTAATTCAGGAGAAGCAGGCTAATCAAAGCTACAGGGGCAAACAAAACAAAACACAAAGCTATAGGGGCTCTGGGAGTGCTGGCACACACCTGCAATCCCAGTGCTCTGGAGGCTGAGACAGGAGGATTGCTGTGAGTTCAAGGGCAGCCTGAACTGCACAGTGAAACACTATTTTTTAAAAAATTAATTAATTAATTAATTAATTTATGTGTGTGTGTGTGGCCAGCTCAGCCCACCAGGGGGCGGGGCGGGCTGGCATGTGGTGCTGGGGGATTGAACCGCGGTCCCTGTGCTTTGCTAAGCTTGTTCTAAGTAGGTGCTTTAGACCACTGAGCCATCTCACCAGCCCCCTGAAACACTATTTTTTTTTTTTTAATTTATTTGAGAGAGAGAGAGAGAGAGAGAGAGAGAGGTGTGTGTGGCCAGCTCAGCCCACCAGGGAGCGGGGCTGGCTGGCATGTGGTGCTGGGGGATTGAACCGAGGTCCCTGATGCTTTGCCGAGCTTGTTTTTTTTTTTTTTTTTTAAGTAGGTGCTTTAGACCACTGAGCCATCTCTCCAGCCCCTGAAACACTATTAAAAACAAAACAAAACAACTTCCCCTAAACTCTCAAAACTATAGGGACAAAAAGACAGTCCAATAACCAGAGTTGGTGAGGATGTGGAGAAAAGAGAATCCTAACACACTGCCAGTGGAACACTGCTTTGGAAACCAGCTTGGCAGTTCAAGGCATTAAACATGCCGCATTGAACACACGATCCAGCAAGGCCACTGGGTATACACTCAAGAGGCTGAATTCCAAAAGGACACACAAAGCTTCCTCGCAGCATTATTCAAAGTAGCCGAAAGGCAAAAGCAACAAAAATGTTCACCAACTCACCAAGGTATGTGCTACACGTCCTGCACTCAGGCTGAGGCGTGGGGGGTCACCATGTGTTCAAGGTCAGCCTGAACTATACAGCGAGTCCCTAGTTCAACAAACAAATGAACAAACGAAGGAACAAAGTTCACCAGTGAATAAATTATATATATATATATATATATATATATATATATATATATATATATATATGGCCTCCTCCTCAGGCTGGCCTTGAGCTCACTTTGTATAGGTCAGGCTGGTCTCAAAGTCACGATTCTCTTGCCTCAACCTCCTGAATGATAGGATTACAGGCATGTGCCACCATACCTGGCCCGAGAAAATATGGCATATTTAGGTCTAACCAGATAGCTCAGCAGATTAAAGTACCTGCTTTGGCAGACACAGGGACCAGAGTTCCATCTCTGGAGTGCAGTGCTGGCCCACCCCTGGGCTGTGCTGAGACAGCAACTAAGACTGGGTATGGTGGTGCACACCTGTAATCCCAGCCCTTGGGAGGCTGAAAACAGGAGGATCACTATGAGTCTGATCAGTGTAGATCCTGTACTAAATACATAAAAGAAAATACGGTATATTTATACAGTGGAATATTAATTATAAAAGGAGCAATGTATTGAGAGATGCTGTAGCATGACTGACTCTTGAAGAACTTCTGCTAAATAAAGCCAGAAGCAAAAGAAAAATACTGTATGACTCCATTTATATGCAATGTCCAATAACAGATTCACAAACTAGATTAGTGGATCTCAGAGTTGGGAAGGAGGGCCGTAAAGAGGGACGCCAGTGGGAGGGGGGCTTTTGGGACGACGAATGTTCTGAGAGAAGCCATGGTTGTAAACTCAATACAATAAACACGGCTGAAGTGCACACTTTACTAGGATGCATCCTGTAATACAGGGACAGTATCTCAATGATACTTTTATTAAAAACAGGTATACTGAGAGTACCTGGTCACTGTGCCTACTCATTTAAATTCACGTTCCTTTGTACCGGGTGCAGTAGTGCCCTACACCCAGTGTTCTGGGGGCTGAGGCTGGGAGATCCTACACTCAACATCAGGCTGCGCTGCATAGCGAGTTTACAGCTAGCTAGCCTGGTGTACAGTAAGACTCTGTATCAAAAAGAACTAAACCAAAAAACAAATGAACAAAAAAACCCAACCCAAACCAAAAAAACTGACATAGTACTCTCCCCATATACTTCCCTTTGAAGATAACCTGAAATTCAGAATAACCTCTACTGTTGTAGGCAGAATATTCCACACAGAACTTAATGGTTCTTTGAGTTTTTAAAGAAAAGTATGTAATCCAATGGTATTTACTATATTCAAAGTGTTGCACACTGGCCAGGTGTGATGGCACACACTGGTAATCTGATCACTCAGGAGGTTGAGGCAGGAGCACTGTTGAATTCAAGGCCAACCTTAGCTACGTGGTGAATCCAAGGCTAACACTGGTTTATTCTTAACTTGCAGAAGCTGAAAATTAATAAATTAACCTATTTATTGAAAAATTACCCATCTGTCTCATTTCCATGCACTCTGGAGAGCAGGGAGGCAGACTTCCACTTCTCACCCTCCATAATTCGAAATCTGAGTAGGGCTGGCCAAATAGCTCAGCGGATTAAAGTGCCTGCAAGTAGGCACAGGGACTGGGGATTTGATCCCTGGGCCTGCGGTGCCAGCCCACTGAGACGGCAACTGAGACCAGGCGTGGTGGCGCACGCCTGGAATCCCAGCTCTTGGGAGGCTGTAAACAGGCGGATCACTACAAGTCCGATCTAGTAGTGAGACCCTCAACACTTTGTAGACCCTTCCCTAAACAAACAAACAAAAAACACCCCAAAACTTTTAGTCTGATCTCTGAGCAAAGCAAAAAGCCACTAGCAACATAATAACTTTTCCTAGACAGCTAACAAAATCATCTCCTTGGAGAAATAGCATTATTAGACCCCTCTGTCTCAGTATTTAACAGATACAAATAATCTGTTTTTCATAGGAAAAAGATAAAGAAATGAGGAAAAACATTAAATATAAAAGCTCCTACAAAACTACAGGGTTACAACATATGCAGTGACACACATCGGTAATCCTGGCTCTCAGTAAGCTGAAGCAGGAGGATTACTGTGAGTTCAGGGCCAACCTGAACTATCAGCAAGATGTTGTCTCAACACACACACACACACACACACACACACACACACACACACCCACCCACCCATCAAATGGCAAAGCCAGTCCATTCACTATCAGTGTCAATAACTGAGATGGGCACCACTGCCTTAACAATGAGCACACGGAAGCTCTGGCCTGTTTCAGACAGGGCCACAATGGAGTGCACTGGCCTGCGTAGTCAAAAGGAACAAGTATCGTCAGACACAGGCAGGGCCTGCCACATCCGGGCAGGACCACTGTGCTCATAAAACGTGCTACACTGCAGGAGTCTATTTCTGAACACTATATCTAGCTACTACAGTGCTCAACCCTCCGGGTAATTCTATAATGCTGACAAATGAAAAGTCACAGGTAAAACAAGAGGACGACAGCGTGGCACAGATCTGCTCTGGGCGTTGCCAGCTACGTGATTTCACTCCTGTGAGTCTACTTTCTCATCGCAAAACGCAATGCAACCACACAGCACAGCGGAAGCAATAGGAACTTCCAAGACCGAAATCAGATGGCTTGAGAGGTTACGACATACCCTCACAAAAGGCTGACTGGCATCACCAAGACTGGGAACTCAGAGCTCAGAAAGCTCCAAGGAGGTTACTTCCCAACGCCTCTGCCTTCATCTCCCTTGCAAAGGCCTCTGGGCCTGTCAGTTGCTGGCTGCCAAACGTACAATGAATGAGGATCCAGGTACACAGCAGGCCTGCAGAACTGCATAAAAGCACAACTGTGAGGGAGGCTTTCCCCAGTTCATCTGGAGACTGGCTTCAGGAGGGCTGCCCACCCCTGCAGTCCCACTTCTCACAAGAGTTTGTGAGAAGCTACATCTCAAAGTACATGACCTCAAACTTCATTGTCTACATTGTCCTGTAAATTTACACTGAGTCTGAAAATGTTTTTGCTTACCATTAAGAGGTTAAACAGCATCTGAGGAGGTTCAAATAAACAAACTGAAACTGGTCAAAATATAATAGCCACATTTCAGAAAATATACCATTGGTGAGCTTTTTTTCTGTGATAAGGCTAGTATGTTTTAAAAAGGAGGCGCAATGAATTAAGACATTGACATTTATAGCCGCGGCTCGACGCTTACTCTTGGAGGCCCAATTACCATCCCTGTCCATCTTGTAAGTGTCATGTCTTCGTCATCTTCTAGGCCCCAGCTAACTGTGCCGTCTCCTACTCCTTTCTGACCTTCTTCGAGTTCTTCCAACAGTCGGAAATTGCGAGGGACTTTTACTCCTAAAATAAATGGAAAGAAATTCAAGATCGCAGCAGCTCCAGGGGAACTCGTAAAGCTAGAGTCAGCTCAGTACTGCCACTTGGGAATACAGAAGCCAACATGCAGACACCGCCAGCTGCCGTACTTCACATGTGCTACCTACAATCTACCAGTATCCACCAGCACAATGAGGGAAGAAGCGCGTGCTCTGTGAGTGGTGGGCAGGGCAGGGCACCAACCACAGGCACCCACCACCACCCTCTGACTGCTCTGTGACGTGTTCACATGTTCAAATGATCACTTTCGATCCACCAATGTGAGATGAAACCACCCATACCAAATGCCAATCAAAGCATCCTACAAGTGGAGGGCTATTTCTTTGGTTTTGTTCTTATGACACACTTTTTTTTTTTGGTACTGACAATCAAACTCAGGACCTTGCACCTGCCAGGCAGGCGCTTGTGTCACTGAGCTATATGCCCGGCCCCTTAGCCCCTTACTTCTGAGGCTAAGGTTATGCTCATTGGTTGGTAAGACTTTCAACCTCCGGAGAAACAGCCACCAAGGGTGTGTTACTAAAAGCCTAGGAACCCAGGCCTTTGGGCCAAGGCGTGGGAGGGTGGGGCAGGGACGTCCTCCCGTCCTCCCAACCAACGCTGCTGTTCTTTGCTTCCTCCCCCACTCACCCTGGCACTTGTGTTTGTATCTGGAAGAAATCTGTAATCCAGACAAGCCACATGTAGGGGCCAGGGACATGGCTCAGTGGAATAAGCACTTCCCTGGCAAGTGCAAGGACCTGAGTTCAATCCCTGGTTCCACCAAAAAATAAATAAATAAATAAATAAAGTCATCTCTGTAATCTAACTTTGTTTACAGGGATTGGTGAGGCCACATGCTCTCTGCCTGAAAGTGGAGCCCCTGCTGGCCAGACCCTGGGGGGGGGGGGAGCAAGGCTTATCACCTGACTGTGAGGAGAGGCCCCAAGGATGGACCAGAGGCCAGGGAGGTGTCCCCAGTGCAACAGTCTTTCCAAAAGCATAGGACACACGTCAGCATCAACACAAATGGAACAAATGCTGACCCTGCTACATGCTGGGCACTTTTCTAAGCCCTGGGAGCTAAGCAGTGAACAAGAGAAAAGCACTTGCTCTCAAGGGGCCATGACCCGGGCAGGTGTGTAACTCACAAAACAGCTGAACCAGTGAGGCCTGGTGGTGCACGCCTGTAATCCCAGCACTTGGGAGGCGGAGGTGGGAGGATCGCTGTGAGTTCCAAGACCAGCCCGGGTTACAAAGTGAGCTCAAGGCCAGCCTGAACTTCAGAGCAAGACCCTGTCTCCAAACCAAACCAAGCCAAGCCAGAAAGAAAACAAAGTGCTTGGACTATCTACTGACAGTGTGTGGTGTCAGCACAGGTTATGAGGGAGGGGCCACAATGTTGAATAGTGACCAAGATGCGTTCTGGTAGCAGGCATCAGGACTAAAGACCTGAGACGGGGAGGGGCCTTGCTAAGTGTCAGTAATGGCAATGGCCTCAACTAGTAAAGCTGTGAGGATGATGAGCGCAGACCACCAAGGGCTCCCCCTCAGTTCCTGAGTACAGGGGGAGCTGAAGAATCTGAACAGAGGAGGTCCGCGAATGGGACCCCTCTGATTGCTTGGTGCAGAACATGAGGTCAGGATACAAAGGCATGTGGGGGGCAGCAGGGAAGGCAGTGAGAAGTGGTATTTTAAGAGGCTGGGCTCACAGGATTCATGTCAAGTAGCCTTTAAATTTGACAAAAAGAATTCACCTATAGCATCCAGGGGTTTGATTTAAGCAAAAGGACAGAGGGCATTCATGGTACATTATATGACTTTTCTTTTTTTTCTTTCTTTTTCTTTTGTGGAACTGGGGATTGGACTCAGGCCCTTGCGCTTATTCTACTGAGCTATCTCCCTGGCCCGACTTTTCTTTTTGAGACAGGGTCTCACTATGAAACTCAGATTGGCCTTGAACTCATTACATGGCCCAGGCTGGCCTTGTACTTGCAGCAATTCTCCTGCCTCAGCCTCCCAAATGCTAGAATTACAGGTCTGTGCCACCTGCCTGGCATTACATGACTTTAGGTAGCATGTGATCAAATGATTCATTTTACAAGTAATGTATTTATTTTAAAGAATAACTTATTTAGGTAAAGAAAGGTGACACATGTCCATAATCCCAGCACTTTGGAAAACTAAGGCAGGAGGACCACAGTTTAAGCCCAGCCTAAGAAATTTAGCAGACAATCTCTCAAAAAAATAAAACTGGCAGGAGATAGAGCATGGTCAATGCTCCTGCGTTCAATCCCCAGTGTGGCAAACAAGAAAAAGCCTGTTCAGGCCAGGCATAGTGACACACGCCTGCTAGCCCAGTACTTGGAAGGCTGAGGCTGGGGGATGGGTTTCTTTTCTTTTCTTTCTGTGTGGCATGGCATACGGTACCAGGGATTAAAACACAGTCCCTGCACTTGCCTAAGCAGGTGCTTTAATCTGTTGAGCTATCTTGCCACCTCGGGGACTGTTAATTTGAGGCCAGCCTGGGCTACATAGATCCTGGCTGCTTAAACTACATGGCATGACCTGGCTCAAAGCAAACAAAAAATACCAATTTAGGGACTAGGGTTTTAGCTCTGTGGTAGAACACTTGTCTAGTAAGCACAAGACCCCAGGTTTGAACTCCAAGATCCGCTAAAACAAAGATATACATACTCATCACAGGGCAAATGACATTCTAACTTCCCATTATGATGTTAAATATTTTCTTTTAAAATAAACATAAGCAAAATAGTTGATCAAAAATATAAAACAGTACAATTACAGTGCTTCAAAGAAATCAACAAAAACCTAAAAACATGCTTGATTTGCTGCTCTGGAAGACACTGTCATTTCCATCTAATGCACAGTCAGCTGGACGACTATCTATCATGGATTAGTCTCTTCAAGCAAAAAGCAAACTGACACTTTAATCTTTTAATAGTCCTAATTTGGCTAGGAACAAAAATCATTGGGCCGGGGAGATGGTTCAGTAGAAGCGCTTGCTTGGCAAGGGCAAGGGCAAGGGCCTGAGTTCAATCCCCAGTTCCACAAAACAAAAACAAAAACAAAAACAAAAAAAATCATCGTGTATTATGACTTTTACTATTAATTAATTTTTAAGTTTACACCAATGAAAATGAAAGCCAAAAGAAGAGTCACACCACAAGGCTGGTGGACAGCTGAACACCTGCTCATGCACACTGGAACGCAGGGCTGGCCAGGCACAGCTCGGTAGTGGTGCTCTGGCCTTGAGTGCCCAAAACCCTGGGCCGGAGCCCAGCGCGCGCACACACACACACACACACGCACAGATATTACTAGGCTATGGGTTAGAATTACATTCCCTCTGATTTCACAGGTTGAAGCTCTCTAGGTACCTCAGAATGTGACTGAGATGGGCTGTAAAGAGATGCTTAGTTAAAAAGAGGGTCCCAGGGGCTGGTGAGATGGCTCAGTGGTCTAAAGCACCTACTTAGAACAAGCTTAGCAAAGCACAGGGACTGTGGTTCAATCCCCCAGCACCACATGCCAGCCAGCCCTGCCCCCTGGTGGGCTGAGCTGGACACACACACACACACACACACACACACACACATAAATAAAATTAAAAAAAAAAAGGGAGTCCCTTTTTGGTGGGGGCAGGTAGGGATCTTAATCCAATCCAAGGACATTAAGAAGGAAGATACACACAAAATACCAGCACTGTGATGTTGTGGTACACAACTATAATCTGACCTACTTGGAAGGCTGAGGCAGGATGGTAAATATGAGTCTAGCTTTGCAATTTTTTTTTTTTTTTTTTGGCAGAACCTGGGATTGAACTCAGGCCCCTACTGAGCCATCTCCCTGGCCTCTTATTAGCCTTGCAACTTAATGAGACCCTACCTTAAAATAAAAAGGACAGGGCCAGCCACATAGCTCAGCAGATTAAAATGCCTGCTCAGGCAGATGCAGAGTCCTGGAGTTCGATGCCTGGGCCTGCCGTGCCAGCCCCGCCCCCGGGGGCACGCTGAGATGGCGATTGAGACTGGGCATGGTGGCACATGCCTGTAATCCCAGCACTTGGGAGGCTGTAAACAAGAGGACTGCTGTGAGTCTGATCTACAGAGTGAGACCCTGTACACCCTGTCCAAAAAAAAAAAAAGGAGGTGGGGAATGTAGCCTAGTGGCAAAGTGCCCCGGGTTCAATCCCCAGCACGCATATACACAATTTAAAGCATGTCACTTCAATGTATTGCAGGTTAGAATCATAGGGGACAAAGCCAGCTTTGTTATCACTATGAGATGGCATTACAGGACATTTTCTCTTTTTTGCAGCACTAGGTATCAAACCCAGAACCTCATGAATGCTAGGCAAGTGCTCTACTACTGAGTTATATTTGCAGTATGGACAATTCGCTTTTTCAAAAACTAAAACAATCTCAAAAAGCCTTTATTTATATGGGTTATGTCTACTGATTTTGCCAAATTAGAAATTAAAGTTGAGGGCTGGGGAGATAGCTCAGCAGAATAAGCGCTTGCCTGGCAAGCACGAGGGCTTGAGTTCAAGCCCCAGTTCTACCAAAAAAAAAAA